ATTTACTAAAAGTTGTAAAAACGGTTGAAATATGGTTTTCTAGACGTAAAATTACTCGCTGAACACGATTTTGGTGTTGACAAATTTTTACTCTTTTTTAATTTGTAAATTGCGAAAGAACTATACCTCAATGATATAATATTTTGACGGAAACCTATGTAAAATGTTCCGGGGAATCGATTGGCGTCAAGAAAACTGCAAAATTCCTAGCAGTTTTGAAGTTATCAGCGGATTTATATTTTTGATATTTTTGAATTTATCAGAAATTTTCTCGATAACTGTTCATCGTAGAGCACTGAACTTTTTAATATATCATAGAAAATTAAATTTTCTATCCAACGGTACCAAATATAAGAGGTTATCTCCAATAAGTCCGGAGTTATTGCCATTAGACCGCACCGGGTGCCAAAAATCGACCAAAATCTCGACAAAAATCCAAAAAATTTTCAACACTAAAATTGATCCATTTAACGTTTTTTACATTTCTAGAGGTCTTAAGGACTCCATTAAGTGCATAAAACGACATTGGGTCAAGTTTCAAAAATTTTGAATTTTTTGAGTTTTTCAAGATTCTGAACAAAAAATCAATAATTTTAGATTCTTCTTCTTATAAAAAACTAGTACCACATGTAAAATTAACCGGAGAATACGCCAAAAAAACTCATAGTTTTTGAGATATGACTATTTTTTATAAAAAAAAAAACTAAAAATGTCTCTGTACCCGGAAATTATTTTAATCAATTTTCAAACTTTCTTTGCTTTTTATCCTAAGTCTTATAGTTTCGTAGAAAAACGCATTTATAGTTTCACAATTCTTCGTCACAGTGATTTTTTGTAATTTTTTAGAAAAAGCAAATATTTATTAAAAAAAATCAACAATTTTTCATTTTTCAATTGACATTAATTAACGTTTAAAATTTCTCAATTGACAAAAATCAGAACGTCAATCATAATTCCCCATATTTATTCAACATTTTTCAGACGGTTCATGGAGAACTAAAACAACCCTAAGCAAACTCCAAGATTTTCACAATGTTACTATTTACTTGGGCTACGCTAACAATCCATTCGGTGCTTCCTCACCGGCCTTACTTAACAAGAAAAAAACGTACGTTTCACATCAATTAAAAACTTTCAATATTTCGTAATTAATAGTGACTAATGTGTTGTAAAGTTGGTAATGCTTTTAGCCATGTTGATGACCCTCGCCCAAAACGTGGTGTAATCCACCTCTACAACATGGTCAGTTGTGCAACAGGATGTAATCCTCTAATTTACAAGGGTTATGGCTGCTATTGTGGTTTCTTAGGATCAGGATATGCAGTCGATGGCATAGACAGGTAAATCCCCATTTTCCGCCCCGGAAATCCCCTAATTCGACTTACAGGTGCTGCAAAATGCACGATTGGTGTTACAACACTGCTAATTGTCCAATGTATCTCGAATATTTCGTACCGTATTTTTGGAAATGTTACCGGAATCGTCCCTTGTGTGGTAAGTGTCACTAGGGTTTTTAATTTTCTCAAGTTGGTATTACAGCCGTTCCAGAACACCAACGGGGAGGTCCCGGTTCGTGTCCTCAACGATTGTGTGAATGTGACCGTATTTTATCACAGTGTCTTAGTCAATTTCCATGTCCTTCGAAAAGGGCTTTTTGTAGGGCTTCGCCCTGGAGGCTCTTCCAGAATCTCTTCATGGGTTTAGAGTGACATTGACAATTAGTGACATGAATAAATTACTGGAAGTCAAGTTTCAGTTAAAACATACGGTACCAGAATCATCATCGGAAGTCCAAATTGAACTTCCTGATCGAAAACAACAAGAACCCAAAGTTACAATTGTGACTTTCTATACTTCAATTCTAGGAATTGTGATTGGACTTCTAACAACAATTTTGGGCTTCTTATTGTGGTTCAAAGTGATTAATGCAAGGTGATCAACCCGAACAACTCCGACAACCCATCCAAGTACAAAGATGGCGACTTTCTCGAAGACCACTTTGGTGGTACTTGTTGACCATCATTGGTCTAGCTTTAATTTTTATTATTGTAGCCACAGCTGTTGTTGTCACACGAAATAAAAATGTTTGAGAATCACTAGTTTTTTTTTTTGAGTGTCACTGGAAAAGTTTGAACGTCACTGGTCAATAGTCACACGCATGCGCACACGTTACGCAACTGTCACATAATCCAACATTTTTTTAGGTTAAGTCAGTTATTTAAACATGTTAAAAAACGTAAAATTACGTTCTTTGGTCACTTTTGTAAAAATTCGACTCAACCAAAAAAAATAACTGAAAACTGAAATTGAAGAAAACTACGAAATTTGAAAATTGTTTTTAAAACAAGGATAAAATTGTACTGAAATTTTATTGTTTTTGCTTATTTCACAGACTTTTTTCTAAGAAATTAAATAATTGCACAAAAAATGCCAAAATAAAATAGAAAATTGAAAAATTAGATCGAGGTAAAAAAGTAATTAAAAAATTAGGGTAATTTTGGTTTATTTTTTGAATTTAAAGTTTTTTTATACCAAAAAAAAACTAAATAAATTCGCGAGTTTTTAAAATTACAAAATTAAGTTTAAAAAAAATCATAAGTCAAAAAATCTAACCCAAAACAAAGAGGAAATTACAAAATTAGGGTGATTTTGGTTTATCTTTTTAAATCTAGAGTATTTTATACCAAAAAAAACAACTAAATAAGCGAGTTTTTGAAATTTCAAAGTTAAGTCAAAATTTAATTTTTAATTTTTATTATTGTAACCACAGCTGTTGTTGTCACACGAAATAAAAATGTTTGAGAATCACTATTATTTTTTTTTAACAAAAAATTAATTTGTTTGAGTATCACTGAAAAAGTTTGAACGTCACTGGTCAATAGTCACACGCATGCGCACACGTTACGCAACTGTCACATAACCCTACATTTTTTTAGGTTAAGTCAATTATTTAAACATGTTAAAAAACGTTAAATTACGTCCTTTGGTCACTTTTTCTAAATATTCGACTCAACCAGTGGCTAAAGAAACGTCCGATTATGAGAATCGTATCAAGGAATTTGAAAAAATCTCAAATTTACAACAAAAAATCAAGACGAAAAAACCCCAAAGAGCCCCCTTTGTCAAGAATCTCTTTTTGGGGGTGTTTGATACCGACCTTTTAGCCTATCCCGAAATAAGAAACGAGGAATTAAACAATTTAAATAAGAATTTAGAACCGGTTCAAACTTTTCTCCAACAACCAGAAATCAAAAATTGTGATAAAATCACAAGAGATTTTTTGAGAAAAATGTCAAATGAGCGACTTTTGGGGCTCCAAGCGTCGGAATTAATCGGCGGAAGAGACTTATCAATGAGTGAAATGTGTCGTTTTTTTGAAACCATTTCCGAAACGAATTTAAAAAATTCACTAATAAATAACGAAGTTTTGGGGATCCAAACTTTGGTCAAGTTTGGTTCAGATCAATTAAAACGCAAATATTTAGAGAAATTGGTGGGGGGCGAAGCCCTATCGGCGTTTTGCGTCCTTGAACCCCATTCAACAAACATCGAAATTGGGAAAAGGACAGGAGTGAAAAGTCTAGATGGCAAGACTTGGGTAAGTGGGGGTTACCATAGCAACTATGTCAAATGACACAATTTCCACTTCGTATGTAATATACTATTTTCTTAAAATTTCAATTTTTGTTTTAGGTTTTAAATGGGGAAAGAAAATCGGTGTTAAACGGCAGTAATGCAGATTTTTACGTTGTTGTAGCAAACACAGAAAACATCAACAAGGACGAAATAACTGAAAAGAAATTTAGTGTTTTTTTAGTTGAGCGTGATTTTGGGGGAATTACAAGTTCGAGTTGTGGCAGTCATGACTTGTCTGATGTTGTTTTTGACAATATTACAGTTCCACACGGTAGAAATCTACTTTTATTTAAACTAGAATTAATTTTTTTTAATAGAAAACATAATCGGAGGTGAGAATTGTGGAGAACAGATTTTAACAGATATATATCCACAATTTCGGCTCAGTACCGGCCCCATATGTTCCATATTAGTCAAAAATTTAATAAATAATGTTACTCAACATTTCATTAATATATCAAAAAAACCAAACTTGTTGTACGAAACTGACGCAATTCGGACGAAATTAGGACAAGTAAGTGAATTAATTGAATTAAATTAATTTAATTTGATTTAATTCAGCTAACAACTTCGCTTTATGCCATCGACAGTATGGTATATTTTACTTCAAGTCTTGTCGATGATTACGAAAATCAAGACACCGAGTTAGAAACGTCAATTGTAAAGGTAAAAAAAATTAAAACCCTAGACGAGCCGCCCATGTCGCCAAATTCGTATAATTGCCATAGAAACGTATTGTAACCATGGCAACAATAAGGGTTGTCATGGTAACAATGAGAGAATCCAGTGGCGGGTCATTTTTTTTTTAGGTTTTCGCTTCAGAGCAAGCTTTCCTCAATACGTCAACTTGTCTCGATTTAATCGCCCCTGATTCAGTTTTTGCCAATCATTGGTGCAACAAATTCCATTCTGAGGCTTCATCTCAAGTGATTTTGAACGACTCTAATGACAATTTAAAAACTTTGATTGCTTTATTTGGACTTCGTCATGCCGGAGTATGACAATTAATGTTAATTTTTCTTATTTAGTTATATTTTTAGGAGAAAATCAATGATACGATTAAGAAAATTCGAAACCCGTTTTATTATAGTTCTTATATTTTCAAACGTATGTGGACACATCGTCGCATTGCTGAAGATAATCCCAAATTAAATCTATTTTTACATCATTATTTGCACCCATCATCTATATCCGCTGCGCAACATTTGGAGTATGGTGTTTTTTTAGTTTTATTATTTTTTGAGTGTTTTTTTTCAGGTATTGTGTGTTGAGGTTTCAGTACGCCACTGAAACTCTACTAGCCCGTCACGGTGCTGAAATTATACACAAACATCAAGATTTAAGACGTTTAGCTAACGCCATTATTGACATATATGCAATGGTGGCTTGTATAAGTCGCTCCTCACGTTCATATTGCATTGGTTTACAACATGCAGACTACGAAATGGTTTTAGCCAATGCTTTCACATTTGGGGCCCTTGAACGTGTCAAATCTAACCTCAATAAAATTATAGATGGCGCGATTAGTACCAATGACGAGAATTATAGAGTTGTGGCGAAAAGACTATTTGAATTGAAACAGTACTATCCGGTGCATCCCCTAACCCGAAATTTTTAGTTAAATAAATAATATTACTAGACTTGTTATTATTTTTTCATCGCAAACGTATAGGTGGCTGTGACTCGGAGGTTTGTTGCCACACTACTTGATCAAAGATGGCGCAACTATTACTTTAAAAATGTGACAAGAGCCATCTTTGATTTTAATGAATGGATTATTTGTTCATAATTTTAAGGAATTCATTGTCACTCGATTCGGTGAAAAACCCAAATAAACAAACAAATGCGATCAATGCCACTTGATTGCTTGATTCATCAATAATTTCGCTCTCTCCCTCCTCTAATCCGAAAAACACAACGATTGCATTGCAATTATTGATAGAAAAGTACACACGGAAAGATGTGCGCGATTGTGTTTGTGAGAATTTTTATTTAAGTAGGCAACATCGCAGTCCACGTGGACTCGACAAACGCTTGTCATTTGTTTCCTAGGCGTGGTTTAACCCTCATTCTGTGTTGTGATTGGACGGTTAAGGTGTGACGTATGCCACAAACAACCACGTGGGTCTTTCTCTCCCGCCGCTCAACAGTCGCGGCAGATGAGTCCGGACTCGAGGTATAGTCGTATGTGTCGCTTTTCCGCCCTTGTTAAACAATGGATTCGAATTTTCCTCCTCGAATTTGAAAAACGCGAGTGTGCCATGGGATTAAGTGAAGTTTAGTGATAGTGATGAGTAGCTGATAGAGGTGAGAGCGTGACCAACATGTACCCCACCCCTGCAAGGCATCCATCGGCCGCGGTAAGTGGTTGTTTAGGTTTAGGTTTGAGGCCCCCTTTCCCCCACCCCTCCACTACCGACGACGCGTTAAGTCGCTTACCCAAAGCATTAATTGACAATTACCTGGACAAGGTTTTAGCGCCAAATGGAAGAAGGCCTTGATCGTTGTTTTATTTTTACATAACCTCAAATTTTAATTGGCACTATTTGATGACCTAACCTTAGTAATTGGCAGGGGTCGAACAAAAAGGGCGAAAATTCTTAATTATTATTATCAATACTCACATTTTGTAACAAAATGATGCAAATTGTAGCTGAGATGTCACAACACAATTTTTGACGTTTTGACAGTTTTTGAAAATAGCAATACCAACCTTAACTTGGTCAAATTAGATTGCGAAAACATGGACTATTTTATGCAAATTGTGACAAATTTAGTAATTTAAAATTGCAGATGTAACATTTTTCATAAATTAGACCAGATTAGACTTAATTTCGTTGTAAAAATTGACAATTTATTATTTTTTTTAGTGCGATGACAAATGTCACTTGGAAGTGGCTAACGTCAATTAATTTTTTACATAATTGAAATATTTATTTATTTTTGCATTAATTTGAAAAACGTCAATATTATTTAAAAATGCATTTAAAATGTTAAATAACAAAATGAGCTAAGTCTAGGTCTATTTTTGATGTAGAAACGTCACTTGGAAGTATCTAACATCAATTAATTTTATTTGCGTGTAAATGACTGTATTTTTTTACCACAAGTTGGTGTCAAATTTAAAATTTTAGTTTGGCAACCTTGACTTTCAAATTCAAACGTCAAATTTTTATAGGCAATTGTCATTCATTTGCGACGGGTGACTGCTGATTTAGCCGTCACCTGAAACGTTCTGATATAACAAATTTAGAAGGATTACCACTAATTCAGTGTTGCCAATAGATTTTTTTGTCACAGTTATTAATAGTCATCCGGTACAGTTACGGAATTAAAATTTCGATATTCACAATGTAAACTCTAAAACAACCTTTATATTAATAACCTCATTTTTTACTCTTGTCATGATTATGTCATTTTGACTGACAGAAAATTTTAATTATCAAATGTCAGTCATGATGACAGTAAAGTGAACTTTTTGGAGTGACAGAAAAATATTGTCCGAAATTTTAATTCCGTAACTATACATTGTTGAAATATTTGAGTTAAATCAAATAAAATGGAGTAATAGTTGTTTTTTGCAATAATTTGTGCAGTTTTTGGAAAAATGTCAAAATTATTTTAAAAAATCAAGCACCAAATGGCCTTATTTTACGCAGGCTAGACTTATTTTTGCTGTAGAAATTGACAATTTATGTTTTTAGTTCTGTGACAAACGTCACTTGAAAGTGGCTAACGTCAATTTTAATTTTATTTGAGAGATTACAATTACATAATTAAAATATTTAAATTAAATCAAATAAATGTGAGATAATTTTGCTATTTTTGAAAAACGTCAAAATTATTTAAAAAATCCACAGGCTTGAACAACTTAGATCGCGAAACATGAAGCACAAAATGGCTCCATTTTACGCAAACTATGACAAATTCAATGATTTAGAAATACAAATGTCAAATTTTTTATGTCTAGACTTATTTTTCCGGTTTTTTTGGTAGATTTTGACATTTCTTTTAATATTTCTACGACAAACGTCTCTTGGAAGTGGCTAATGTCAAAATTAGAGACTAACTTTTTGCACTTATTTAATATTTATTTATTTCGTCTTGGAGTAGGTATTAATGTGTCTACATCAATAAAATCCATTAATTAACACAAACACATTCGTGTGGCAAAGCGTGAATGCCGGCGTACTTAACAATCAATATTGCACACACAAACACTAAATGTAAACAATTTGTAGGATGTGTGAGGTTAGGTTCATCTAGTACTTATTTACATTTCGAAGTTTGCAAGATTTAGGGAGAAAACCAGTTTTTTTGGGGTTGGTAACTAAAAAATAGCAATAAAAAACGTCTTTGTCCCATTAAAAGTCTTACATAATGATAACCTCACATCGCATTCCACACGATTTGCGTATATGGCTAAAAACCAGTTTTTCACGTCATGTTAATAGTGAACATTGTTGTATTGTAGTGAAAGCAAGAAGTTGAGAGATGTTTTGTAAACTAGTTGCTTGTCAAACACACAAAATGTGCTACTTAATAAATCGTCAAATTACGTGTCAAAAAATACAATCCCAAGGCCAACCAAATTTATCTATATTATTCATGTTAGCTGTAATTATTTAAGCAATTACAACAGCAAACAAGTCGTGTGCTTTGTTTATTGATTAATCAAATGTACAGTTACGGAGTTAAAATTTCGGGCAGTATTTTTCTGACACTTTTACTGTCATCATGACATTTGACATTTAAGTCAAAATGACATAAACATGACAAGAGCAAAAAATGAGGTTATTAATGTACAGGGTGCTGCATTTTGGATGTCCGAATAGGGAATCTCCGAAACTAAGAGGTTTAGCCAAAAACGAGTGATACATTCTGGGGCTCATTTTTTAAGGAAATAATATTGGTGAAAATCGTCTTTTGTTTTCGACTTATAGACAAAAATTGACATTTTAGCGAAATCTAAAAAAATTCATATCTTCGTTATTATAGAAGACACAGATTTGAAATAAAGACATTATATAGGCACTTTTTTACGTAGAATTTAATAATGTAGTTAACAATTTTTTCAGTTGTTTGTTTAGCCGTAATAAGGTAAACTTGTATTTTTTTAAATGGGAATCATAAATGGCTATGTCATTTTTAAAAAGCTTGTTTTTTTCTTATCTAAAAATATATATTTGTAACAAATTATTATAATACATTTTTAGCAAAAAAATATCTTTGATTTTTGTTCGCAGTTGGCCATGAAAAAATGTTGCATCTTCAACTAAAAGGATTTAAACTATATTATATTCAACCAGTGTGACTAATGAAAGAGTTTTCTAAGTACTAAGTGATGAAAAAGATGCAAAATAAATTGTAAATCAACTTATTGGCGACTAATAACATTTCTTTGTTTTTAAACAAGCTAACATTACCATTGCAACTTCTAGTGATACATAAAGTGTTGTAAAAAAACCGCTTTAATTTTTCAATGAAATATATTTTATGACACAAAAATGACGATAAGGCTATTCAAATACCCAAATTCCGTCTATGTCAAAAGTTATTCTACCTCCATTAGATCATCAAAAAAATGTTTTTTCTAATTGTGTTGACTGTTGACACATTTGTTTTTCCTATTTTTGGATTTTTTAAAAATATGTAATAATTTTGTTCTGAGGCGCTCTCATATTTATTCAATGCTTCTACCGTATCGTATTTTTTAAATCTTTGTAATTTTATATATTTTTTTCATCTATTTTACAGTTCACAAAACTCTTATTGAGTATTATTTACACATTTGGAGTGAAATAGTTTTTCCATGACCAACTATTATCACACAAAATATGTATTTAATTTTTTAAGTATAGTTTTAAAAAAATATTTGGTTACAAATATATATTTTTTAGAGCAGAAAAAAATAAGCTTTTCAAAATTGCCATAGCCGCCTATGATGCCCATTTAAAAAAATACAAGTTTATCTTATTACGACTAAACTAATAACTGAAAAAAATTGTTAACAACATTATTAAATTGCTCGTAAAAAGATGTCTTTATTTCAAATCCGTATCTTTTTTTAGATTTCGCCAAAATGTCAACTTTTGTCTGTAAGTCGAAAACAAAAGACGATAGCGGGATGCGGTTTTCACCAATATTATTTTCTCAAAAAATGAGCCCCAGAATGTATCACTCGTTTTTGGCTAAACCTCTTAGTTTCGGAGATTCCCTATTCGGACACCCTGTACACTGTACTGCCCGAAATTTTAAATCCGCAACTGTACAAATTTTCTTAATCTGTTACTAAGAACTCATAAACAAGACGTTTTTAATTACATATTTCATGTTTTGCGTACATTGTCGATAAGTACTTGTTTAAAATATTTTTCAAATTGTTTGTTATCGTTCAGTGTTAATTATTATTTAAAAAAAATAATAATACATTTTCCATTTTCAGACATGGAATAATTAAATGTTTCAAGTTAATGAGCAAAGAAATAAAAATATACGACACGTAATCATCATGCGTTTTATTGTGCGATTAACTTTATCGCTGCTACACAGTGGCTCTAAAAAATTACTTTTTTCCATCATATCTAATTTTCATTAAAACTTTGTGAATAAATTGTGAGGCCTGACAAAAATTGTAGCCGCCTGTCGTTTTGTATTATAGTCGGGAATATACAAAAACCGCTTTATTAAAGTATATATTTATGCATATCAAGGGATAAAGCGCTGTCGGTGGTAACATCTGTACTACCCCAGTATTTATTTGAATTTTTATTTTTTTTTTGATTGAAATAGTGATTAATCTTTCATTTCGAAGGTTATCGTTTATAATAAATGACGGAGTGGCATGTACACAAGTAATTACCGAATCGATAAAGTAAAACTATGTCCTGAATTATTTCAATCATAATCGAATTAACACTGAAACAATCGTTTATAGTTGTTTTAATAGTGTTTGGTTCGATTTTTACTAAAACCATTAGTATAATAATAATTAAAATGCCATTTATTGATGGATAAAAGAGCCGCCGATGCGAACAAATGACTATTTCTAGACGAGGAAAGGTGAAGTAAGCAAGAATCGTGTTCTCACACACCCACTCAACACTATCATAATCATAGATTCAATCACAACGCAAAGAATTACTTTCAGTTTTTAAAAATGAAACTATTTTTATTCATCATTTTTTTTTTTTCAAAACGCTGACTTTAACTTTTATGTAATTCTCGCGAAAATGCGACTTGTCGTTTCAAGGAAGCCGACCGTTGAAACAATGACTTTTACAACCTTTAACCTTTGAGTAATAAAAAATGATTTGAGCAATAGTTTTAATTGCACTGACAACAAATTTACCAAAAAAAG